CATTTCATTGCCCCTTTCTCCCACTGCATGCCTTTACATTTCATTGTTGCCATATTATAAAATATTATAGCAATATTGTTAGGAAATTAAATAGTAAATTGTATTAATAGGTCTATCTTTGAAATAAGTTGGAACTCAACGTCAATTCCTAGTGCTTGAGGAAATGCATTTCTAAGAATACTTGAGTTCTTCCCCATTATGTTGACTGGAGGCAAATGATAACACTTGATCAAAGGAAAAGATACCACTGGTCTTTCCTAAAATGATCTAAACACACTCCTCATACATAATTTCAGTTAAACCTTCTAAACAGACATCTAGTTTAAATAAAGTTGTGTGAATCACCCTTGTAAGTAGAGATTACTTATATATTTATGGCCTGTTGGTTTGAACTAGTCCAGTCATTCTCTACTGACTGCTTTCTTTAACAAGATGGTTTTGTCCATAGAATTAGTTTTTTTCTGGATGTATTATCTCTCCATTCTCTTTAAATTCTGAAGATTGCAGTATGGGAAAATCCCTGGAATGTAGCTGTCTCTATGAGACTGAAACTGCAGTGCCTGGCACCACCCAACAAACAACATTTAAAAGCTCTTCAGTCACATATCATTTTAATGTTTGGTCACCTAAAACTCTTGACCATGTCTGCATGTTATATATCTTGAGTTGCAGACACATTATCAGCTGTATGGTTATCTACATTAAACAACCAGAAGGCCCCTGAATGTTTATACTATCAATGATAAAAAAAAGGCATATTGCATTCATTGATAAAAAAATAGCTGGATGAGCATTTAACTAATTTCTGAACGCTGATATATAAAAAGCTAGTGTTTGTAATTTTTTACCTGGAAATTTGTAATGGAAATGCTACTTTACGTATCAACATCTTTTCACTTGCTATATCCCTGCAACATTTGTGCATATACACATCTCATGATTTTTTGTTTCAACTGTTGTCCTTTTCTTTAGTTAATGAATAAAATCTAATGTTACTCATAAGAATCCAAAAATAAAGTTGAATGACTGATAAATGGACATATTCTGCATAACCCCCAAAAACTGGGTTCAAATATAAACTCCGCTACCATCACTGATACACAGCAAAAGTATACTAAAACCACAACAGAAACACAAATAAATATGTAGGGTAAGGAGGAGATTATATCAAGTGAACCATAAATGTCTGCTTATTTTTGTTATTTACTAAAAAAAAAAGACAGGTATAATCACTAAAATGTGGCAAATTATAGCAAAATTTACTACCATACCATCACACAATAAAATATTCCAGTGTAGGACAAATGGAAAGATCTAGTGATCTCTAAGGATGTCATCCACTTAATAGCAACAACTGTCTCGAACATAACCAACCTTAATGATTTAAACAGACACCCAATAAGCATCCAATCACAAATAAAGGTAACATGCATGCTGGGAAGTGTTTTGTTCCCAACTCATTAGACAGGAAATGAAAAAATAAAATGAATTCTTTAAACTTGCCCAAACAAATGCTACAAGTATTTAAAACTATAGAAAATGTTTTCGGCAATAAGAATGGATATAATGACAGCTTCTGTACTATCTTTTCAGTTACAGGATAGAAAACAACATTGATAAAATTACTCAACTATTCATTATATAGTTTATATGCTAAGCTTTTGGATATGCAAAACTGGATTAATGTGTGGATAGATAATCCGTTAAAATGCATTTCTTAAAAAAAAAAAAAGACTGCAACCAGTCCCCAGACTTTGATGTCTTTCGGTGGCATACGTTCCTACCTAGAGATGGCTGTCATATCTCGGCCAATCTCTTGTCTCCCACTGAAGCCAGAACAGTATGGCCTATATACTTCTAATGTGCAATGCTTACAAGTCGCCTGTGAGATAAATATATTGTAAAATGTTAATTAGCCACTAACATATTTTTGCAGAAGTACCATCGTCTTCATACACCAACAGCAACTGCCATTAGACAAAAATTATATTACCATAATAGATTTTTGGAGGTTGTATAGCAGAGTCTAATTATCATTATAAATTTTAGTTTATTGACATGATACCAACCAGTGGTGTATTTTGGTTTCATGCTGCCCTAGGCATGGTTAATCCTGGGCAACCCCCTAATCTACATTTGCTCCACCCCTTACTGTCAAGGCTGCACCTCTTCCTGATTAAGAACCCACTGCTTCCTCTTTAGACTTCACCTTTTCCTACTCCTTTTAAAGGGAAACTATAGTGCCAGGAAAACAGCTTAGTTTCCCTATTGTGCCCCTCCACCACCCACTCAGCACTGAAGGGGTTTAAACCCCTTTAGTCACTTACTTGAATCCAACGCTGGTGTCCCTCGGCGCTGGGTCAGGCTCCTCCTCCGCGCTTGCATTAGGCTTCCCCATAGGAAAGCATTGTATCAATACTTTCCTATGGGGATTTAGCAGATGAAGGATGTCCTCATGCACAGCGTGAGGACGTCCAGCATCAGTTAGTCGACTTTTGGTCGCCTAACCACCCGGAAGTCCATCTGGTAGACTAGAGGTGGAGTTAATCCCTCAAGGTAATTATTGCAGTTTCTCAGAATAATTACACTTACACTCAAATAATTACACTTGCAGGGTTAAGGGGACTGGGGCACTGCACCCAGACCACTTAAATGAGCTGAAGTGGTCTGGGTGCCTACAGTGTCCCTTTAAGCACCCACTCTGACAGACACACACACATTCACTGACAGACTCACACTGGCTGATACACACTGACAGTCACACACACACACTCAATGACAAACACACAGACGTCACTGACAGACACAGACTCACTGATCTGGCACACACACATTCACTGACTGACATACACTGGCAGATACACACTGACAGTCACACACACAGACGTCACTGACAGACACAAACTCACTGATTTAACACACACACATTCACTGACACACACTCACTCATTAACAGACACACACACTGACAGACACGCAAACACTGATAGACACTCATTGACAGACACACTGATAGTCACACACACAAACACTCAATGACAAACAGACTCTCACTGATTTGACAAACACTCACATACAAACATACACTCATACACACACACTGACACACTCGTAGGCACACATACACTCATACACACACATACACACACACACTCATACACACACACACACACACACACAATTATATACACACATACACACACATATACTCATACACACACACACACACACACACACAAGGGAAGCCCGAGTGGGCGTTTGGGGGCTGCATCTAATTAGATTTTGACTAGCCAAAGATGATGATGATGACAATGAGCTATTTAATGGATTATTAAAAACATTACAACCATTTAAGGAAACTGTTGAAACCCAGTACAATTTCTTTTACTGCTGTATTGATGTATGTAGTTGGAAGTGGTAGGCCTCCTTTAAGTGTTTCTTATCACAGGAATGTGTCATATAGGTTGACATAATTTAATTACGACCTTTTACTTGACATCAAAATATGCCACTTTCACTGGCTAGCTCCATTTATTTGGAATATTTAGAAAACACAGAAGTTAAAAATAAAATTATTACTTCTGTTTTACTGACAAGTTTGTGGCTCTCAAAATACACGATTCAGTTAACTAATAGAGTTTTTTTTAATCTGTATTTAGATATGTGAATAGTTTGACTATAATGGTTATCTAAGGGTTTTTGCTGTCATTAACTATGTGTAAATAGTATTGATGTTTAATAAGAAAAATAGATGATTGCAAATAAGATAGCTACTGCTGCTAGAAGACAAAGCTAATTGATGGACCTGACTGACCCACCAAAAATCCACTGCTCTAGTTTTTAACTGACCACTGACGGTTAAAGCTATTTTTTAAAATAAATTAGTGGAACGTTGCTAGAGAAAGGGAGGTTGGAGGAGCAATGGCAACCAGTTGCTACTCATGGAGCATAGTGTTGAAGGCCATCACAATATTTTAATATACCCTAGCTCCAGACACTCTGCCTGTGCATATGAAGTGAGAAGGGACCATTTCTCATCACCAGTTCAAGTGCCAGGCTAGTGAGGGATGGCTACTGATATGGGAGAACTTAAAATCGAGTGTGCACTGTTTGTCAGAGAGAATGAGAACGTGTCGGTGAATGAGTATGCATGTCAGTGTGCATCATTGGGTATGTGTGTTGTATGAGTATGCCCTTACCATTCAATGCTTACCCATCCATTATATGCAGAACATAGACTCGGGCAGCATTTATGTACCCACACTAGTGTTCTAAACTGGGTGATTAATGGTTACATGAAAAATACCCAAAAATTGGTGCATGTCCTCATTCAGTAAGCAGATCCATTGCACCCTGAAATAAACTATAGTTAAAAACCAGATTTTTTTTTACCCCTTCAATAAAGTATTATTAACAAAACCTCTTCTACCCATTGGCTTATTTTCTACCTGTTAGCCATCAGATTCGTCATGCTACTGCTATCTATATAAAAACCATATACCGGTATTTTAATAATGATAAACTCAATTGAGCAAATTTATTATCAAACTTCCCTCCCACAAATTGCTAGTTGATATTTTTTTTTTCATAAACTATAACATGCATTCATGCACAGATTAAAACAAAGCTGAATGAAACAGATGATCGAAAGAGATGGATGAACTGAACAGTCAAACCATAAAGATGGGTAAGCAGCATCTCCAGCATTGTTCTGCTGACTCAAATCTCCAATTTCAAGGTTCCATCTTAATTTAAATAATGGCTAAATTATATTTATATGTGTAAACTCCTGGTCCATTCTCTGGTGTGCAACCTTTTGGATATGATGAGTGTATATTTAAAGAGTAAGGCCAGTTTTCAAATAGACATGTAAATTAAACTTTTACAGTTTGCTAGTAGTGATGTCCCGAACTGTTCGCCGAACGGTTCGCGAACAGTTCGCCACGAACGGTTTGCCGCGGACTCATCATTGAGTAAACTTTGACCCTGTAACTCACAGTCAGCAGACACATTCCAGCCAATCAGCAGCAGACCCTCCCTCCCAGACCCTCCCACCTCCTGGACAGCTCACTAAGAATGCAGCTTCACTATGGATGCTGTCCAGGAGGTGGGAGACTCTGGGAGGGAGGGTCTGCTGCTGATTGGCTGGAATGTGTCTGCTGACTGTGAGGTACAGGGTCAAAGTTTACTCAATGATGAGTCTGCAGCGAACCGTTCGGTGAACAGTTCGGGACATCACTATTTGCTAGTGACATCTCCAGAACATATATAGATTAAAAATGAATATTACCATATTACCACTAGAAGCTTTGTTTTGCTTCCTGAAAGATGGTCAACAGGATGGATGTGAACCAATCCACATACCTGCCTAACTGAAAATACTTCAGATATCTAAAAATAGGAAAATGAATACACAGAACACATTTCCGCTGCCCAGTGGCGTACATACCAGGGTCGCAGGGGTCACGGCTGCGACCGGGCCCGGCCCACCAGGGGGCCCGGCCGCCCCTCCGACCCGGTATGTACGCCACTGGGCCAGCCTCTTCTCCTGGGGGGCCCAGGAGGTGGCCACCTCAGGCCCCCCCGAGGCTGGCCCTGCTGTCACCCGGCAGGCGGGTGGCCGGTCGGGCAGGCGGGCGCGCGAGGGAGCACTCAGTGCTTCCTCTTCAGCTCCCTCGCGCACCGCACTGATGCCGGAGCCGGAAGATGACGTCATCTTCCAGCTCCGGCATCCCTACGCGGCGCGCGAGGGAGCTGAAGAGGAAGCACACAGGGGAAAGTGCTCCCTCGCGTGCCGGCCGCCCAGACAGCCCGTCCACCCAGTGACCTGCCGCCCAGGAGCCCAGCAGCACCACCACTGGACACCAGGGAATCCCCCCAGCACTCCAAAAGGTAAGGAGGCTGGGGGGATAAAATGTGAAAAAAAAATGTGTGTGTGTTTGTGTGTTAGTGTGTGTGTGTTTTAGTGTATGTGTGTGTTAGTGTGTGTTAGTGTATGTGTGTTAGTGTGTGTGTTAGTGTGTGTGTGTGTTAGTGTGTGTTAGTGTTTGTGTGTGTGTTAGTGTTTGTGTGTGTGTGTATGTGTGTTAGTGTGTGTGTGTGTCAGTGTTTGTGTTAGTGCGTGTGTTAGTGTGTGTGTCAGTGAATGTGTCTGTTATTGGGTGTGTGTCTGCTAGTGAGTGTGTTACTGTGTGTGTCTGTTACTGAGTGTGTTTGATGTCTGTTAGTGAGTGTGTGTTTGTCAGTGAAAGTGTATGTTTTGTAAGTGAGTGTGTATGTATGTCTGTCGCTGAGTGTGTCTCTGTCAGTAAATGTGTGTGTCTGTTAGCTAGTGTGCATGCATCTGTTCGTTAGAGTGTGTGTGTGTGTCTTCAGCATTTACCTTTCTCCAGCGTCGGACTCCCCAGTGTGCGCCTCTCAGCTCCGAAATGCACATGCGCGGCAAGAGGCGCGCAGGCATTTAAACCGCCCATAGGAAAGCATTACTCAATGCTTTCCTATGGACGTTCAGTGTCTTCTCACTGTGATTTTCACAGTGAGAATCGCGGAAGCTCCTCTAGCAGCTGTCAATGAGACAGCCACCAGAGGCTGGATTAACCCTCAGTGAAACATAGCCGTTTCTCTGAAACTGCTATGTTTTCAGCTGCAGGGTTAAAACTAGAGGGACCTGGCACCCAGACCACTTCATTAGCTGATGTGATCTGGGTGTCTGTAGTGGTCCTTTAAGTGTGTGTGCATACCGGGGTCGCAGCCCTGCAACCCCTGCGACCAGGTGCACGCCACCATGTGTTGTGACCCCGACCCGCGCCGAGTAAGCGCGGGGGGAGAGGGGGGCGGGGGCCCACGGATCAATTGTTGCACCGGGGCCCCATGGGTCATGTGTACGCCACTGTCGCTGCTCTTTGAATTCACTTTGAATTCCAGACAAAGCACACTTTAGTGAATCACCCTGCTAGCGATGCTTTGTAGACTCCTGTTTGTGAGGACAATAGAATTTGTTCAACCCTTGGGTTGCAGGTTCAAATCTCGGTAGGTGTGACTCACCCCTTCATCCTTCCGAGGTAAATAAAATGAGTACTATTAAATTGGGTAATAGAAACAACTAAGGGGATGTTGGGCTAAGGTAACATCCCAAGGGCATACTTGAAGACCATCTGAATGTACCTTCCCTGGTTAAATACTTAGTTATTATTATTTGATGGACAGATTTGTGCATTTACTTTTATGCCAATGGAGAAAATCACATAGGTGTTACATTAAAAATAAAAAGTAAATAAATAGGAATTTTATCTATGCATTTGCAAGAAATTTTGCTAGTACAATAGATTGATAGCATTGTACTTTCTATAAAGTGTTATCACAGATGACGAGTACAGTGTAATAAATCTTTATAATTGTTACTCATAAGAATATTCATTTACATGCTGTTGATATCTGGATTAAGTATAAGCTCCATTACACAGTGGATTGGAACAACAATCAGAGAACATGAGTTATTAGCTACAGGGCAAATTCTCTGGTGCTTTTCAATGACTATTTCTCAACGAGCAAATAAAATATACAGAGGAAGTCCAAGTCGCTCTAATAATGTTATTTTATCTTATGTGAGAACACATAATTTGATGGTATGTTATCATATAGGTCTAATTTATCAAAGTTTCTACAATAACTCAAATCATGATGAATTGACCCTATAAAACAACATAGCCTAAAGTCATATTTTCTCACATTAGATAAAATAACACAGTTTAATACTTAAGCACTGGGGCCTGGAGATGTATTAGTTTTGGCACAGCATCATGTCAGTAAACTGTAGTTACTGCATGAACTAATTATTTCATTACTGTATGTTACGTGCAGTTAAGTGGGAACATCATTTTTTTTTATCATGAGAAGTCAAATCATGGCCCTTCAGCTAATACTGTGTTACAACTCCCATGACACTCAGCCAACCTTAATAACAGTTTCACATATATTAAAGATTCTTTCCTAGAACTGGGTTGATGCAGTCATATGCGCTAGTATATCCCTGGGAAGCAGATTGTCTTTTTGGTAAGTGACATTCTATCCTGCAAAAACATTTTTGTTATGCTTACAGCATGGTTACTTTTGATACTAGTTAAAGGAACACTATAATAACATGATTTCTTAATACTATAGTTTTCTACTAACCAGTTAGATGTTTGTCCCCATCATGTGCACAAAAAAAAACACATTTACTTGATGTTTAGCCACTGCCGCGCCGGTCTTAATCTTCCTCATCTCAGACAATTCAATGCTTCCCACGGGGAAGCATTGGGAGGATAGTGTGCATGTGCAAAAAATTTTTTACATTGCTACACTAATCAGCATCTCCTCATAGAGATGCATTGATTCAATGTATCTCTACGGGGAGTATTCAGTGTCACCATGCAGATAGTGGAGATACTGAATGTTGGTTCTCCAATCTTTGCATGACTGAACACAGGAAATCCTTACTGAGGCTTTCAGAGTCAAAGCCTCAAGAGGTGGCCTTATGCAGCAGTGTATATGCTGCCTGCTGCCTTTTCTCAGGCACTGTTTACATTGCTGAGCCTGCTGCAAACAGCTATATGCCCCAGAACCACTACATTAAGCTGTAGTGTGTCAGGTGACTTTAGTGTCTGTTTAATTTTATGATCCTTTTTAAGAATCATAAAGGAACAATCAAAGGTTCATAAAGGAACAATCAAATTATATGACTTAACCACTATCTGGTCATATAGAACCTCTGTCAGCATTAAAGCTCTGCATATTTAGTGTCAGCAGTAGATCATTCTGTGCTAGAATAGAATATTTAAAGATTTGATTCTCATTGTACAAATTACTATATATGAATACTTAGTGTTATTTGTACTGTCATCACATTTTGCTAAATAATTGTATTGTTTGAATATTTATTTGTGAATTTATACTCCTTTTATTTATCTGCACCCTTTTTATCCTATTTATTGTTTGTTAAAAAAACATTTCTGAAAATACTTAAATAGAAACTATTTGAAAATATTCTTATGAAAAAGTAGACTTTACATGGTCCACAATGGGTTAATAATAATAATAAGAGATTGTCTGCAAAGTTAGACACCTCAAATGCAAGTAAAAAAAAGATAAAGCTTTGTTATTTTCAAAGTATCCAACAGCATTGCTGAGCTGAGTTCAGTTCATTTCTGTGCGGTCTTAATATCTGAACTTAGATGAAACTTACTGCAAGTTGTCAATTTCAAATTTCATCTGGTTTTCCTAGCTCTCAATGGGCTACCAATTAAGAAAGGATTCCAGTGTCTACAGATGGTGATTCTCCCTTCCACAATGTGATATGAGTCATTGATGGAGAAGACACTTCGCCCCAAGAATGATCTCTGTGGGGTGCTCACTTTTTACCTTTCATAACTAGTTCTTGTAATGTCTTCATTATTTAAAATAAATATCCTAAGAACCTCTTCCCGAACAGCTGAGTGACAGGGTCACTTTAAGCACATACTATATTCCACAGATGCTAATGCAATCTGCTATTTGAGACAACATTTTTCCTTTGGTTGGAAATTGGTGAGTTCCACCTTCTACTGTTTTAATGCTAAAAAAAAACCAGTATATATCCTTAAAAATAAATAAATAAAAAATATATATAATAGCATACGTTTCTTGCCTCTGCCTTTAGATTTCACATAGGCACAATGAAAAAGTTTCCACATAATTAATTCATTAGGAATTGTGTCTCCTTATAAAGTGCAGTAGCTTAGGTGCAATGTCTGTCTATTTAATAAAACATGTCTGTCTGTCTTTATAATAAAGCGTGAGAATCAGGTTTCTCTAAACTTATAACAATTGTCCATTTTTCTGCAGTGTTCATTTAGGTTAAAAATGTTGTCCAAAGAAAATATTTAAATAAAAATAGCTCCAACGACTCTCTCTGGAGTCGTATGATGTACCTGTAAGTATGTGCTAAAAGAAAATGTGGAAAAAGTTTAATGTCTGCTTTGGTTTATTTTTGGAAAAGTTAATATGGAAATTATAAAAAAAAAAAAAAAAGAATGCAGACCAGACAGATTTAAAGACTTGTCAAAAAAACACTAGCTTGGAAAATAATAAATGCCCATTAATTGCATTAACAAGCTGAAAGAAGATATGAAAGGGAACCTTCAAG